AAATTAGATAACTCTTGACAAATATCAAAATGGCAATTTTTATTCTGAAAAATGACTTATCTATTTGACATTGTCTATATTCCTTCTACAGTAAACCCTACTGATGTGATCTTCTGTGCAAGTTACAGCACTTCCTAGTTTAAATGCCTTCTGTTGCCTTCCCTGCCCTGGAGTTTGAGACTTTGTCGTTACTTATCTGTTTACCGGCTGACAACTCGTCTGGCTCCACGGCAGCTAATGTCCTCGTTCTACGTAACATGACACCTGCTGTTCTGCGTTCTCTGTGATGACAGACAGCATGTACACACCCACAGGTACAGTATACGCAGCCGTTGACATGAGCATGCACACACACAATGTGTGGCTCACAGTCACACAAACTCCAAACACCATATGAGGCAGAAAAACTGGCAGAAAATACACAGACACAAGATGATGTTAAAAAAGGAGGGATCTGGCCATCTGTGGACTTGATCTTCAGATGGAGAAATGTCAGTGAAAGCAGAGGAAAACATGCACTCCACAGGGGAGCAGTTGGTGAAGTAAGGGCAGTGAAAGAGACTTAGAGACTTAGAAAATGTTCCTCTTACAGTGACTAAACCCCTTGATAAGACATCCTGCAGTAGCAGGACATCTGTACAATAACTCATATAGATTTATGTTTGAATCAGTCTGTTATGCATGTTATGTACATTTTGTCTCTCATGTGACATACCGAATGAGCTGCTCTGCTCATTTCTGATCTCCGTCGTGGTTCTGACGGCGGACCAGATGAGACCATCCATCAGGGCAGTTTCGGTCTCGTCCTTCTGGGTCATTCCCTCTTCTTCATGCTACGTAGAGCTGCAGTGGTCCTCAACACCATCTGGCTCCTTCAGGTTTGCATCTTCCACAGCAGTGTTTATTTCCTTATGAAATCCATGATGAAAATATCTGCTCACAACATATTTTTCACAACAAAATGGTTACTAAAAAGAGTCCTTTGAAAACGAGCACCATTCAAAATGTTTTACTGTACGCTTTTTGTCAAAGAATAACAAATGGATTTGAAGAAATTAAACTTCATGCACCTGTGGAATCACTTTCTGCACTTCCTGATTAGAACAGTTAATGCCCATTATATGAGTAGGTACTTTATTGATCCCACAGTGGGGAAATTTCTGAATATGTAGCTCTTGTTCAAAAGTTGATTGAAATCAGTTTGCCCTCTTGCAGTACTGTTAATAAGAAGCATATTCATCTGACTTTGATAGTTGTTGGATGAAACAGGTTTACTACTAAATTTATCTGAGAATCCACTAGATCATAAATGCAGGTTGGATTTATGAAACGTAGGCTCATTTAGCATTTATTAAAGTGGCTGTCGACACTGTGATAACCATTTTCAATGTACACAACAAAGTTGGTGACAGCTGTAGCCTCGAAATGCTTAGAAGGTAATGATGCTAAAATCTCATTGATGAAAACTAAACTCAAATATCTTTAGATTTTATTGACTAAAACTGATAAAACATCTGTGTGGATTTGTTACTATGGATGCCCCCATCACATTACAGACATTAGAGCCATTGTTAAGATAAAAATAGTTATTAGTACAGCTTTAAAAATAGTGCATGCTTGAAACTTAAATCAAGAGAAACTGGAAGAAGTACTGCTGTTTAATCAGCATGCCACTCACATCACTGTCTCTTCTGTGTGAGGTGCAGCGGAGGTCATGAACCTCCAAGTGTAAGATATATCAAAGGTAGGATTATTCTGCAGAGGTTGGCAGAATGATGGATTTTCTGCTTTCTTTTTAAACAGGCAATTCCCTTGCTCCATATAATGACATCTGTTCTCTAGTCCCTATATACACATACATACACAAGGCCTCTACATAGAGAAGCCTTAGAATTGTAATATAAACTACTGTTACGTGTCACTGACTTCACATTTATGTACAATGATGTGATTCAAAAATCTGTTTTTCTACACGTCTCTGCTCGTACATGTAAAGTGGTTCACCAACCAAATCAAATTCAATGACGCAATAAAGGTATTTCAAAGTGCATAGTGTTCCAGGTGACAAGAAGTCCTTCTTGTCCCCGACATCTTCATTTCTAAAGCTAGCCGAGTCTTCGGTACACTTTGTCTCTTTGGGTACTTGGTCCTTCTCTTCATCCCTGCACCTCTGTTGTCTCTGAAGTCTGTGACTAGAAAAAACTTCTCCATCTTGAGAGTTTGCTTGTTTCCCGCCGTGCTTGTGCTTTAACTATTAAACCCATCATCTCTCTTCTACATTTTCTGTAATTGTGTATTCAGTTCTGTACCTTGTTTTCACTTTCCTACCTGTAGTACTCTACCCTGTCTCCTGTTTTCTCTCTCTTCATTTTAGTTCTCCATCTTTAACCTGCAAGGCTCTGGAGCATCACTGGATTTCAAGACCATCTGGTTATTGAAATCTCATAATACCAAGGTCTTTTTTTCGCTGTCTGTCTCTCTGTACGTTTGTCTGTCCATCTGTCTGCCATCAGAGCTTCTCCTTCACTGTGTCCTTTCGTCCATTCTGTGAAAAAAGGTGTCCAAGGTTAATTTCAGAAGCAGTTCCTATACTAGAAATGAACAGTGAAAGGCTTTTATTAGTCTTGGTGATGAGATAAGAGACCAATTTTTCTCACATTCTCCAGCTGAAGAGCTTTTAGAGTGGCTCCGCTACTTACCTGGGCAACAGAGCATCTGCCTGCTCTGGCCTCAAATTCCCAAAAATGAAATGAGTTTGATCTCTCTTTCTCTCCTTCTGCCCTGCTCATTTTTCCTCTTATTTGCGGATAATCTGCCAAAGATTGACTTTTTAAGAAGACTACCAGTGTAAAACCCGGATACTGTGCAGTAAGAGATGAATGATGTCCATTTTATTGTGAAGTACTTTGTAATCTTGGTTTAGAAAGGTCCTATATCAATAAACTTTTGTTTGCTTAATTGCATTTTACAAGTTGCCCTTATAGGGATTAAAATAAATTGATGTGTCACAGAAAACATACAATTTTAAACACAGTTATGCATATAATAAAAATAAAATAAAATAAAAATAATCATCTTTATTTATAGAGCACTTTTCAAAATCTACATTACAAATTTTAATTGCAGCAATAAAAATGGATTTAAAAGAAAAATAAAATCAGGAAAGGCTCTTCGATAAAAGTATGTTTTAAGAAGACATTTAAAAGCAGTTACAGAATTGACTGACCTTGTTTCCTTGAACACGGCATTCAAGAGCTTTGGGGCCATGACTACAAACGCCCAGTCCCCTTTAGTTTGAATGTTTCTAAAAAAGACCCCTGTTCTCAAAAACCCAGCTGATCTGCTCTAAGTATTATTAAAATATTACTGACGCCTGATTGGTGCACAGAAATATGTGACGTCACCTGTTTCCAGCTGAGACCTGCATACTTCAAAACCAGTGAAGATAAAAACAGAAATACACAAAGTCTTGTCAACTTTGGTAAAGAAAAAAAATAAATGTAGGTCTTATTTCCTCATACTCCAAAGTTCTTTTCAGGGCCTTTAAGATCTGAAAATCTGTTGTTTACACAAGTAAAATCTGATCTCTGCCAGGAAAAGAGAAATGCTTACAGAAGGAAGATTGCACTTGGCACTCCTATTTTAAATTCTTGGAACTCTTGCTGGGGATAAAAAGTGTACATTCATGTCACGAAAAACCGACACTATCATTAGTAAATGGAGTGGGACAGGGCAGAGCAGCATATCACAGATGAAGAGTGCAGGTGGACTATTTTAGGCCACCTCATCTATCATTAAAACAAGCCACGGTATAGACAGACATGCCAGATGATCAAATGATGGATGGGTGGACAGAAAGTCCGGAAGGCAGGTGATGGCAGGCAGTCAGGCAAGCCCACTTTGAACAAAATATACTATAAAATATCATTAATACATCATAGCCAAAGTCATGTCTCTTTGTGAAATGTGTTAACATTAAGGCAGACTGTATGAAACAGCTAGAAGTACGGTAGATTACCATCAGGTACACAGACAGGTTCCAGACTGACTTGCAGTCAGGTTATTATTAACAGATGCATGGGCCACGTCAGGAGACGAGTACAGCAAAGGCACTAACCAGTGCAGCACACAGTCTGTCCTCATGCAACTCATCTATTAATCATAGAGAGACTCCCATTATCTACTGTATCCACTTTAATATTTTACCATTCACACTACTGGGCTCCTCATCACTACTGACAGTTGGGTTGTACCTACTGTAGTGATGCTGTGTGCATCTGTGTGTGATGAAGGCATACACATCTTAATTAACCCCCACACAATTTCCCCCTTGTGTGTCCGGAAGCAGACGCAGTCTGATCTCAGCCTCAAACTTTGACATGATTTAGTCAGTGCAGTTGTCAATCCTTCCAAACAGCAGAATTCAAGGCTTTCCCAGGACAACGCACAGTCATGTTTTACGAAAGTTGTTAGGAAACTCACTGACATAATGTATTCCTTAATCCCGTGCCCTAACCTCAGCCATCACAATAAATGTCTAACCCTTACCCTCAAACAGCCCTTTGAAGGTTGGAAGACTGGCTAAAATGTCTTCACAGTGGCTTCTAAAAATATTGATTCATGCAAAAGATATGCGTTCAATATCAAGCAAAGATATGGTGTATGTACTGTATAGCTGCAGTGGGAATTGCTAATGTACATAGAAGGATTCGTATAAAGGTGTATAATTGCATATTTTTATCCATATGCAATTCAAGGATGAGCCTTCACATTCATTTGTGTAAATTTTGTCTAAATCCAGCTGTTAGTTACAGGAGCAGCCTGCTGGGTTCAGGTCAGATAAGATTTTGTTTCTACTGCATTTTACAATGCTCCAACACATTCATTAATTTACAAATGTACTGTCAGAAACAATACAAGGCAGGTATATACTGTAAATCATTTATGTTTCAGAAAATTCCAAATATTTCTCATACATACAATTTCAGTGTGATAGTTGCAACTATTAGTACAATAATATTTCAGTATTTGTTTCCATATGTGATGTCATTAATGTGTATGTACAGACTTTTACAGCTTATGGTAATCATCAGAGTTATCTGACGTATAATTGAGCAGTTTGAATTTATAAACAGACGTAGACATCCAAAGTGTCATACTTTTTCACTGTGTTATGTCTGTGGTGCCTTGATGGTGGCGTTGCATCAGTAATACAGTGTTTTTAACTCTAAATCATACATATATTAAATACAGACATATATGTTGCCTTTAAATTTGTCAGTGATCCAAAACTGCTCAAATACGTCATTACATGTGGTGTAAGTAACAGTCGAATCCTCTCCATCCTCAGAAATGACAAACCACCTATGTTGTATCAGCGTTGGATGAGGGATTATCACAACTGGGTAGTGTGTGTGTGTGTGTATGCTATTGTGTCCTACTGCCCTTGAGAAGAAAAAAGGACAGAGCCCAGATGTTAAACTAAGCCTGGATTCTGAGCCTCTGATGAATTGAAAAATAATATAGAGATACACATCAGAGCAAACAGAATATTGAAATAATGCAATTGCAGTACGGCTGTGGTGTGCAGGGCAAAGAAGATAAGACATGTACAGCTTCCAGTATGGCTAACAGATGTAACACAGCACAGAATCTGAGCACATAAACACACCCACATAAAGTGGGCCTATAAATATCTGACATGTATTACAGCACCAGTAAAAAGCATTTATGGATGCAAAGAATCATTCATGTATACATACTGTATGTACACATATAAACACTTACAGATGCCATCATTGATACAGAAATATAAAAACAAAAAAGAGCCCTTTCCCTTTTACACTGTGTTAGATTTTCCTTTGGTCTGTGACCCTGTAAATTCTTTAAATGATTGATAATAAAACTTTCAAAACCTTTTTTTACAGGGGGTGGGTGGATTTTGTTACCAGTGGACAGAGCCAGGCTAGATGTTTTTTTCCAATTTTTTTGGATTTATTCTAAGATAAGCTAAGTTAAAAGGCTGCCGGCTATAGCTTAATATTTACCATTCAGACATACAGTTTGTAGGAGTGGTCATGCTCTTCTTATCTAATTCTTGGCAAGAAAGCCAATATTTCACAAAATATTGAACTCTTGCTTTAATACAATTACTGTAAATCCTCAAAAACCTGATATTGTACCAAAGCAAAGGCAAAACCTGAGAAGGTGATCAGTCAGTGTTATATCTAGAGGGAACCTGTGCATTGTCCACTCTCAAAACAGTCGTACACAGGGCTGCAGACTAACATTTCATAACAGTGGCACTGGAGCCACTAAGTCCCTTTGGTGGTGGTATCACCTCTGTTTTACAATGTAATGCAAAAGAATCTATGTTTTTCATGGATTCTTTTAAATAATCTCACCATCCAAAGTGCATAGCCTGTATTCATAATGAACTTCAGAGAGAGGGAGACATGGAACACAGTCAATGGGAAAATCACTTCTGGAACAAGTTTCCTTTTTAAATAGTCACTGTAATGCTCTATAGCCTAGCAGTCAATATGATGATAATAATGGCAGTGATCATGATGATGATTAGACTATCATATTTCAACTGAAGTATAAACTAGTGAATTTAAGTAAAAAGTTTCCAACACTTAAACAGGCTAGCAGATGATCTATCTGATTTAAGCAGCTGTCTGTGGCGATTACACTTCAACTGCACCAAAGAAAAAATTAATTTGAAGTATAAAAAAGGGTCCAGGGATGACGTGTGTGTCTCAGAGTCAGTATGGATCCACACATTTGATAGACTGGGAGTCTGCCTCATGAGACGTGGGAGTGACAGACCTGCAGATAAACGCTACAGTATTGCGAAGACTGTTACATCTGTCCACTATTTTTACAGTTGCAGCATTGGTGCATAAGCTGCTTATTTAGCAGTTACACCCAGTGCGACCTTTGAAAAAAGTCATTTGCATCTTAAATAAATTTGGTTGCAAAATGTGAGTGATCACTTGCAGTCTGGAGCCCTGCTACATTTTCCAGATTATTAAAACTCAATACTGGATTTTAGGACACTAACCAGAGGCTGTTACTAACATACACATGCAATGCCACCAATATCTACAAATGTAATATGTACGTAGCCACAGGCAGCGTTTGTCTGCATGATGCAAACCATAACCACTAAAGCATGAAATTTAAACATGGTGTCTACTGTAGTAAAAAAAAAAACAAATAAAGAGAGACAGGCATAAATTAACAAATGGACACAAACTGTTGAGTTTAAAAGGTGACTGGAAGAATTAATAAGCAGTGTGCTTTATTTCTTAATTAAATCATGCCGCGGGGAAAGTAAAAAAGAAACCTGCACTGAATACTGATCAGCTGCTGCTTCTGATTTATTTTATCCTGCAGTCCTTTTGTATGAGGAAACAGGTAAAAGAACCACAGGCCTGCTTGAGGCTGTACTGCTAAATTAGTGTTTCAATTATAAACAGAGCTTTGGAATAAAATATCTGTGTACAGTTCTGTATTTAGAAAGGTTGGAATGGAGACTTCAGCTTTTCTGTAATGGTAATGTTTCTCCAACATCTAATAAGAGAGAGAAGGTGTCCACCTGCAGTCCAGATAAAAGGAGTAAAAGTGGACTATGCTGTATGAAACACGACACATAAAATGAAGTGGTAGGTAGGCTAATAAGGTGATCTGAGCAAAATAACTTTGTTCTCTCCACAGCTCAGCTGCTAGCTTTGCATGCAGCAGCATGAAGGAATTAAACAAAGAACATTAGCACGCTGTCCAGGCATTACATAAACTGTCCTTTGTTTAATGGGGTCTTTCTGGGTGAATGATTATGATTCAAAGGTCCATTACTTCTTCAGACTTGTCCTCTAGGATTTACTGAACACACTATGAAAGGGAAACTAGACTAAGGGACTGTATGAGCATTATTTTATGATTAGGGGGTTTCAGAAAAGTTTTCTTTTGGCTAAAGGTAGGAGTGTTTGGCTTTCTGGGAGAGCAGGAGGTGGTATAACTGTTTTTCAACTGGACACAAAGTCACTGGATCTCATTAATATTTATTTCCTAAATTTAGAATATGGGGCAGGGTAAAAATAATACAGCTCAGGTCCCTCAGTAAACCCAGAGCTTCCTCCTGTACCATGTTCATTTAGTGGCAGTAATTATTAATTATTTATTACTAGCTATTAAAAATAAAGTGGCTGAAACATTTTGTGCCATTTACCAAAAACAGTGTCAAGTCTAATTCACTTCTAATGTGTGCATTAGTGGGTTAGGTTCTGTTACATAAAGATATTAAGGTTTACACTCAGGTACACAGAATAACAAGTTGTACAAATTCAAAACTGCTGAATAATATTTTGACATATTAGAAGAATGGTGATGCAGTTTTATTTAAGTCAAGGACAGGGTCCAAAGAAATAAAAGTGAAGACTTATGATTTAGTCCCTGGTCTGACTAGTAATTTCCATACAGTCCCTAAAGGTAAATTCATTTTGGAAATAATTCAATTCTTACTGGGTTAGCATAAAAAGGGGGGCATTTTACTCATACATTTTCTTGAGCTTTTCTTGCTTAAGGAATCAAAGAACCACCAGCAGGTGATGGGTGTTAACAATAAATGAGTTCAATAAAAAAATCCAGGTAAAGAATGTATGATACTGGCAATCATAGTGATTTAAACATTACCCATGGTGTATATGACTGTCAATCCACTGTGCTTTGGTCAGACAACAGAATCAGCAACCGATGGAAAACTAACACATGACAATATGCTGTATGTGATGCAACAGATAATGCCACGAGTAGTAAGGATTCATTAGGGATAACAAAAGTTATATGTTATTTGGTATCTATAAAAGATTTGGTGACTGAGGTACAGTGTAAATCATTGTGGCATGATCACGTTTTTGCATTGTTCTTTCTTTCTTTTCTTTCTGTACTGTACAGCTGACCTGCGTTTCTTGTCCATCAAACCACAATGCAGGTCTATTTACATTTCTTACCATTACTTGTTGTACATTCTGTGGCCTTGGCTTGGCGCTGGATGCCAGCGGCAAAAATTGATTTTAGTCTGCACAGACGCACCAGCAAGCATGCCAACACACTCACACACATGCATGCACAGAGAAGCAGACATAACTCACATTAAATAACATGAGAACAATTCATTGAAGTGTGGAGTGTGAAGCGGAAACTTCGCCTTTGAGGTTACCAGCACAGCAATGGTTGTTACAGCTGCCAATACAGCAGCACAGATGTCAGAGAGCTGCCAACATGAGCAATGTTTCCAGCTTACAGTTTCCATGTCCACTATATACTTCAAGAGTCCATGTAATATTCCACAGAGAGCTACAGTAATAAATAGTATAAATGCCAAAAATGAACCTAAATACTGCCTTATCTTATCTAAGGCAAAGGCGATTTGTTATCAGTGCTTGGTTGAGGATGCTATAGTGTTTGTTCAAGGCTAAATTTGCTAAAAGTTTAAATTAATTATGAAAAGGTTAAAAGTGACTATATGGCACTTAGAGGTAAATTGGCGGGCTCTACATGTATAATATCCTGAATCAAGGCTAAACACTAAAAACATTGGTGCCAACTTTGGTTTTCTCCATGTGCTGGTATTTACTGTAATGTTTTCCCTGATAATTCTGTCAATATTTCAGCTGTTTATTAAAAAAAAAGACAACTGTAGGTACAGCAGGGTTCAGCCTCGCTTGATCTGTGTGTCTTGGCTGTAGAACAGGACCTGGAGCAGGATGACCGTGTCAATCAGGATCTGGACTGAACCACATACCAAAAACTGAGTTGGGCTTTCGTTAATTACAAAGTAGGTGGTCTTTAAGATGTCACCAGCTGTCCACAGCAGTACCATCTTGACACTGGAGGAAAAAGACATATTGAAGGTGTTAGAATTTTTTAGGAACAGTTCAGTACACTAGAAAATGCACATGTGCTGTCTTGCCTAATGGTAGATGAGAAGGTCAATACCACTCATGTCTGTATGGTAAATACTACAGGTTGTAGGAGCTAGCAGTCTGTTTGCTTAGCCTAACCTGGTTAAACTTGAAACAGCTAGACAAAGTAGCACTGCAAATCTTATTTGTTTATTATTATTATTATTGTTTCCAAAAATATAGTTTAAAAGTGCCAGTTCTGTTTATGGTGGGGGGGTTATGAGACAGACTGTGCCTTGGCCATAAAACTCCTCATAAAATCACTTGTCATTTTTGCAATTTTTTATGTACACATCATGTTAAATATAACATGTTGACTGTTAGAGGAGCTGGGAGGTGGATTTTATTGCCATATGATGCAACTAGGGTATTTGCTTCCCCCTTTTATCTTTACGCTAAGTTAAGCTAAGCATTTTCTGGTTTCAGCTCGTCAACTGTAGAAAACCTGCCACTAGCTTTCTGACAGGAAGCAGCAGGTGAGGCTGCGGAAAACCACAACCAGTACCCGGACAATAAACACAGGCGGCGCCCCCCGAGGAGCGGTCCCTCCCATCTGCTGTTT